GATCGTCCAACTCTTCCCTTGCCCCCGGGCTGCCAGCGGGTGAAGTGTAGGTTCGTTTTCCCAGCTGGGTTTTGGGCTCAGTGAGAGCACCTCCTTGACAGCCATGAACCAGCTAAGAGAGGCTGGGAACGATACCTTCTACCATCCACTTACGGACATACAACACAGAAGTGGCTGTTCTCTAAGAAGCAGCCCCAACACAGGCTTATTGCTAACAACACTTTTTATGAAAATATTTAAGCCCCTTTCTCACATATTTCCCCTACTAACTTTTCACTCGTGTGAAATATACTTGAACATGAAATCTGTATGTGTTAAATATATTTCAGCAGAGTCCCTCCTTCCAGATTAAGCACTAAATCTGAAACAAAACTAAGACAAGCTATTTCTCCACCACATGAACTGAAGATGGCAAATTGATCACAAATTAAAACACTTACTTCAAATACAATTAAAGTTACCCTGTTTCATGATCATTTTTTTTGTTGTTGTGGAAGAAGATGAAGACATCTTCCCAGCTACCAGGAACTACCCATCTCTTACAAAAACTTGATGCCAGGCTCTTGCAGATTCCTGATGGGAATGCTTCTGATAGACACAAGAACAGAAATATGCATGTGGGAAGCCCAGGTTCATGGGACCAGCTTTGCAGTCAGCCAAGCTAGCAGAACAGTAGACAGAAATTAAATCTAGGCCAGGAAAGGAGGGCTTACTCCCAGGTAACTGTCCCTGTTTCTTCCCACCCACCCCCCCTCATCCCCAAGTAACAGATCATAATTTATAAAAGGAACATTAAAACATTGAAAAATATTTCATTTTTCCTTAAAACACGATTCACTGGCATTAGAAGATTTTTATGACAAAATTTTCATTCCATGTGGTGATCTGTGTGGTTCATTAAAAACAGTTTTCCACACTTCAAAGAGTGATTCAGTATAGTTTGGAAACTTAGATTGGTACAAGGTCAGTCAGAACTTAATGATTGCATTTTACAGTATATATGTATATATATGTATTTTTGTGTATATACATATACATACATGTACCTGTGTTAATGAAAGAGTTGTATAAAATCCAGTGCAGCTCACTATTATGTGTTACTGCTTGGGGAATGCAAATAATTATCAGTTTGTAGGAAATAATATAAACTTTTCTACATCACTCTCCCCCAGTCCCTGCACATGCACTCTGGGAACTGGACGCTCCACAGATGTGTGTTTCCACCTGTGTGTTGGAGAAAAAGACAGATCAATTCTTCAGAGTATATTAGATTAATCAAAGACAGATTATATTTTACTGTACAGAGGAATGTGACTGCTTCCTGCTTTTCTCCTGAGTGTAGAATGTTATTGTGACCCAGACATAAGGAGAAGAAAGCAGAAAGGTCGAAGTGCAGGTAACAGCATCCCTTAGAGCTGCTGCCTGCTAGGGACCCTGACAAGAAGGAGAGCAATGGGAAATCTGGGGAACTGCATCCCCCCACCCCAGCACTCTCATTCTGGACGGACACTGGATTGCAACACATCAGACATGATGTGGCAGGACAATGGTGACAAACAATATTAATAAAAATGCTCTGCTGTTCTACAGTGTCTGTTGTGAGAGGGTCTCAAAGCACTTCATAGACATTATGGTTTGAACCCTCATAATGCCTCTGTGGAGGCATTACCATTATCCTCACATGTTGACCACGGGGAACCAAAGTGCTGGGGACCAGGCTGTGGATCATGACACCCAGTCCTGGACCAAGCGTCCTTTCAGTGACATACTCTCAGAACGAGGAATAAGGAAAAAAAAAGATGTAAGAACACCTGTGTGTGCTGAAATGCCACTCCTCTAGCTACTAACCTATTCCAGCACACAAAGCAAGCCATGGGAACACATGGTGCCCAGGAAGAAATTGTGGTCATCCAAGGCATGGTGTCTTCCCAAAGAAATCTGCTGAAAATTTGCTGTGGTGGTGGCAGAGTCCCTGAAGAGATTTGGCCTAGAAAGGCTTTTTAATGGTTCTTGTGGGACACATCTGTTTGAAACAAACTTGAAACAGTTGAGTGGGTGGAAGAGACAAGGAAATGGGGCTAAGATTTCTTTGGAGGATTATTGCCCGGGTGGGACAAGTTAGCAGAGGGCCTGTGATATTTGTCAGTCTGAATAAGAGAAAGCTCTGAGGTCAAATGGCCTGGAGCACAGCACAGCATCTGCATGGGCTACTTGAGTGAAAATTTTCCGTATTTGCATCTGGTCCAGCAGATTCTTAGTTCACAAATGAAACATTTAGACGAAGACTAGAGCTTGAGACATACAGCTATGGAAATGGAAAGAGAGGAGTGTTCACCTACCCATGGCCTCACATGGTCACCTCTGCTCCTCTGGCTCTGCTACCTCAACTCCTGGAGACTCTAGGGTGGACTCTCCTCTCCCACAGTGTTCACATCTCCCTGCTTGCAGAGGGGAAGATCCTGGCTTTGCCTGGGCCAAGAAAGAGTGGAAGAGGCCCAGAACCTCAGCAGGGACTGCCTCCCCATCAGCCACATGCATTTCTCTTCTCTTCACAAGAGTCACAAACTTCGGTCTGTGGGAAGGTCAGCAAGGGCAATACGTTCACAGGGATTGCCATCTGTGAAGAACTATCCAGTGACTGAGCTGAGGAGCTTGGAGGTAGTCAGGGGAGAGAAGTGTCCATCAAGGGAAGGGGTCAGGAGATGAGGTGTGAGCCTTTTCTCTCTCGTCCCTCCCATGCCATGAACTGCCACCCTGATCCATAGAAAATTCTGGTTGTTGCCCAGAATTATTTTGCCCAAGGCTGCATGTTAATGACCATCTGAAGCATGGAGACTCTTATTTATTCCTTCCCGGATCAGTTTCCGTCAAACAAAGCCCCAGTTCTCACAGATGGAGTCCTTTCTGAACCCAGCCTCTATCAGGCAGGGCAGAAGAAAGCTCATGAACTAGGACCAGCAGCCCAGGACAGTCTGGGAAAGAGAAAGGCCACATGGCCACCCCACTAAGGCCTACTTCTAAATCCTATCACGGGAAGACAGCATGCTCCTCCTGCCTACCCTGCACCAGAAAAACCTAGTGCTGCGTCATAAGCCTCCTCAAAAGACTCAAGCTCACAACAACCTACAATCATTGTATGCTACAGGACCAACGTGTAGAGCTGGGAACGTCATTAAGGCCAGGAGGTGGGAGGTATTTGAGGGGAGGGAGAAGGGCAGAGCTAATTTAAATGAAGTTTAGTGAAGAGCCTTGTAGGAAAAGACTCAGTGCGGGAACGTAGGACATGAAGAGGGAAGTACTGTATGGGAATGTGTTTACAGCCTGAAGTCAGTCGTCATTTCACCCGGAGAGGGAGCATGCCTGCCATTCAGATTGGCAGCATGGCTGTGTGCATGTGGTGGGGCTTTGAGTGCACACCATAGACAGTGAGCGCTGGAGAGTGTCCAGCACTAACATTTACAGCACTGGGTTTGGCTGGCCTTCAAAACCTCTGACATACTTTTCTGGCCACAGAAGTAGGTTCTAGTGTGAGTTAGTTCTACAGAATTTTATAGGAACACAAATACAAGGAAAAAAACCCCAAAACAAAACCAAAACCAACAAAAAACAAAGCAAAGCCCAATCTGGCTAGAAAGCCAAAGATAAAATCCTCACAAATTCTGGACCCACGAGTCTACGTTTTAAAGATTTTACAAATATACAGTATCTAATTAGCATTATATCAGATATACAACATGCCCATTTATTATAATTATGCTGGATATATAATTTATATGCATGAAATGTAACTGTCTTCATGGTTAGGATTGGTACTCAGTGGAACTGGAATTTGGAAGGTTTTCTTGGGGGGCCATTACACGGAGAGAAAATCACAGAAAATTACCGACCTGCTTTTCGGTAGACAAACACCCTCAGCTTTGTGCTTCTGCTAAGGGCTAGAAAAAGATTTGCTACATATGGAGCTCTTGGTTGTAACTGAGAGGAGAAAAAAACTGAGAGGAGATGTCCAGAAACAGGACAACTGGGCCAGTGGAAAATGCTATCAGGAAAATAAACTTCTGGAGAGAAATCCAGGCTCGGTGAAACGTGTGGTAGCCTTGCCTTGCAGGGGTCTCAGTGGAGTCAGGACTTCCCCTAGCACAGGTCAGCAGTGCAAAGCTGAACGAATTTCAGCAGTGGCAAGAAGCTGGAGGAAGAGAAACCCTATTCCTCCTTCCTATTTACATGTTGGAGACACCAAGATACTAGAATGAGTGGAGAAAAGGGTCTAACAAGCATTTCAGCATATTTGTGCTTATTGAACACATCAACCCCACTACTTCCTACACTGAGAGAGCAGGCGATTTGTAGGCACTAGTATATTTTTATATTATGAGTATATTTAATATAAACTAAAACTTTATTTCTCAGCCAGGCTATTCTTGTCCCTAGATCTGCCAGTCCCGTAGGAAAGTCTGCCCTTGAATTTGCTCCAAGGGTGAGGAAGAACAGATATATGGGCAGTCTGGAGATGATCCCCAGCAGCCAGAAGCTTACCTACTTGCTACAGAAAGGCCAAACGTGAGGGCTGGCATGAGGACCAAGAACAGGGCCCCTTCCCTCCAGGATGGGGTGCTGCATTTCCTCCTCCCTGTCTTGGGCTGCATGAGACTGCTTCTACTTGTAGCAACTGAAAAGTCCTAAATTCATAAAAACAATGAGATAATGCAGGTGAGCCCTTGGAAGGAGACATCTACTACTATGGCTTTCTTTGACAGAAACTGATGCACGTCGGGAAATTTCCTCTATTATCCCTCACTATCGTCTATTTGCTTGCTTGGGTTCTTCTTATGTCACCGATGAAGGGGTGGCTTTAAAAACAACAACGTGGATGGGACTGTCAGAGAAGTCTTTTCAGACACTGAGTTATTAGAGGTTATCTTGGCCTATAAGGCCACTGCAGTATGGGGTGCTGTGGCCACCCCACTCCTTAATGAGTATTTACAATGCACGAGGTCATATCAAACAGTCACCTCTGTTTTGCTTGCTGTGCGGTAGTGATGGTGGTGTCCTGGAATATAATGCAGTTGTTCTACCGTGTTGTGCCGTCGGGAGGCAAACGCTTGGCGCTTGGCGGAGGTTGGGTTCATACCTAAGGTATTGTACAAGTTATTTGAGGCACTAGGATGGGAGTGCATTTTTGTCATCCTGTAGCGATCCAAAACGGGTGTTGATACAAAGACGTCTGTGTGCGACAATGCCCGCGACATAGACTGCTCGGGGTACCCCGACCGCTCCGGGGAGAGCAGGGGGTCTTGGGAGTGGAGGCGCTCTGCAGACAGAAGCTGCTCATCTGAGAGGATCCGTTCATAGGACATGCTAAACTCCTCGGGCATGATCCTCTCAGGAGACAGCACTCTGTCCTGGGACATGGCCCTGATGGGACGGCGAGGCCTGTCCCTGTGGTTGGTCTGTTGAGACATTTTGATGACGTTGATAGGGAGCGTGCCCCTGGCTGCCAGGTCAGGCAGGTGTCTCCTCCTCATGTAGTATTCATCAGCCTCTTTGTCAGCTGTGGGAAAGGAAAGGGAACAATTAGAAATGTCAGAGCATTGTCCCATGGGGTGAAAAGGGGCTGTGTAAAGCACACAGCCTTGGAGCAGCCTCCTGGTGAGACCTGAGGGACCATCTACCAGCAGCTGGACCTGGGCATGGACATCCATTTCAGGGTGCTACCTGTCAGAGAGACACCAGCCCTGTGTGGGTTGTGTCACCATGGGCTCATGGCAGGCAGAGAGAGTTATAATTGCATGCAGACAGGTGTAAGTCCCTGTGCAATGCATCACCCCTTCTCGCACCATGACACAACAGACTCCATATGCTGTCGAGTCCAGACTGTGGTATCACATGATTTACATAAATGGCTATTTATGAAGAAATTATCAAATGTCACCTTCACAATATACTTATAAAGAAAGCATAGGGAAGGTGGGCTGAGGCAGGCAAGTTCCCCATTTGAGGAAACTCGTACCTCGTTTCTTGCACCTCAGTTGTGGATGTGCTTTGGAATCCATTAGTGCCCTCATCGCATTCTTAATTACTATTTTTGAATATTTGTAAATGTGATCACAAGGCAAGTTTGGTGGGCATGGGATGCTCTCTCTGAGACACTGAATCATCTGCCTAAGGTTTCATTTTTCATTTTTTCAGACACCTTGGTTGCTATCATATAATTTACCCCATGGAATGTTTCTTTCTAAGTTTGCTTCTTCTGTGTCTTAAATGATCTCTTTTTGCACATGAACTCAGCACGTACACACACACACATACCCGTCCTCCTCTTTTTGGCTTTCAGTCAAATACCTCAGACTCAGAGAGGATGTTGGTTGCTGCAGATGTACCCTGATATATCGCTTTAATCCCACAGCAGCTGGAATGATCGGATTCAACCAACTTGTAATTTGAAGAAGCAACTCCACAATTCTTTCAGATTTAAAAAAAAAAAAAAACAAACAACATTGGAAACAAAAACTTTCTGGTAAACTCCTTTGATGTTCATATGCCACTGGGGTACTGGGATTACCAACCTGGAAGGAAGTTTAGCAGTCCTTGGGCTTCAAGCCCAGTGCAGCTTGTGAACTGTCATGATGTACCTGTGGCTGCAGAGGTGTCAAGCACGGAACATCAGTCCCTTACCAGAAGCATACTGTCATAAATGGAAGAGCACAACACTGGCCTCCGTGGGTGAGGGGATGGAGGCATGTTTAATGCTCAACACTGATCATCTGTATGAGCCTTCCTCCTCATTTCTTTGTCTGAGATGTTTTCTTGATGTGTCCAAAAGCATCACTCATCCTTTCTGGCTCATCAGTGACTTCAGAAGACCACAGAGTGAGACTTATCCCAGACATCTGGCAGGCAGCCACAACACGCACTGGTGTGCAGGAAGGGTATTCCTCATGCAAAGGTAAAGCAAATCTCTCCACCTTTCAGAGGAAACAAGGTCTCTTGCAAAGTAACCTTATGGGAGCAACCTGGCATAGAGACTACAGAGCTGGAAATACACACACATGACCCTCCTACCAGTCTTGAGCCAAGTGTTGATGGGCAAAGACATCATCTCCTATATGTCCTGGCCAGCTTCTGGGACCTATCAAAAAATTCTTTTGGAAAGTGTTTTTCTTATAAGACAAGTATGATAAAGATACATGATAATGATGATAAAGAGGAACCCCATTGATTTTCTCAGGTCCAGTATTTCATTCAGTAGTAGGTGATGTAAGATGGGAAAGTATCAGATGGTGGAAGAGGAAAATGTCACATGCATGGAATTTCTGAGGATGTTTGAGTGATAAAAAGAGCAAAGCTCTGGTGTAGGACCGTCTGGGCAATCATGAGGCGGGTGAGGTAGATGGTTCCACTTCTGATGCTTAGAGTCTCTGCTGGCATTCAACAGACCTAGTAGTTAACTATGGTGTGGAAATTTCCTATTTCCTCTGACATAGCCATAAATCTACAGGTTTTATGCACCACATTGGCTGAGAAATGAAGATAATTTGCCGGCTGTCCCTTGAGGCAGAGTGCTTTTGGAGAAAATGTCAATGCCTTATGATATGTGATTGGTGCCGACAACATCCCAGAAGTTTGCTCACAAGACAACAGTTACACATTGGTGCCTTAAGGTCTTCACCCAAACTCTGGAGTGCTGTAAGCATCCTATGCTGGATGATCTCACTCACTAATTTCCTCATCTTCTCTCCCACACATTCAGTGGTCTCTTCAATGCCCCCTGAACCCTGCTCCTCATGGTCCTGTGAACAGTCCACATAACCCAGAGGATCTGTGAGGAAGATGGTTGATCCCCCCTGTCTCAGCATCCAAAGTACAAGCTGAGAACATGTGTGATGAAATGCACGGCCTGTTGGCACCGCTGTTGCTGTGCTTTCTTCTTTACAGCCTACACACCACCAAGGCGCGAGGATTGCCCAGAGCTCTCCTCTACTGGCATGCTTGCTGCCTATGGGATTTGCTCTCCAGAGCATATATTGTAGGAATTAGTCTTTTTTTTGCAATGAAAACCCTCTTGGAAGAGTATCTCATTGCAAATGTCAGACAGCAGCTCCCCTGGCCTCAAACACTTGTGTCTTTAAAACCGCCTTCTAGGAAGCCTGAGAAGGACTGGGGAAATTCCATATGGCCAGAGTAATTTTAGATGTTTTTATTCTATAATGTGGCCATAGATAGACTTGCACACACTTAGTGTGCACAGGCTTGATAATCATGCTTGAGGCTGGGTGCAGAATAGGAGCTAAGCAATTAGCACAGTGGCACTTGGCCTCTGCTCTGGATGAGAGAAGTTCCACTGGATGTGCCCAAGTGACTCTAACTAGATGTAAGTAAAGCAGAGAACATCCCAAATGGAGATGTGCTTGGATGCTCACACCTGGCTGTGGTAATTGCCAGCAGGAGCTAAACCAGCTTATGTGAGGTTTACAGCGGTCTGAGTCTGCTAGTGAGGCGGCAGAATCAGCTGACTAAAGTGGTTTGAAGTTGTTCCTTGCTAATTTGGATAAAAAATGCAGCATGCTCTACACTTCAAAAGTTTTGCCAATTAGGAGCATTAAAAATATCCTTTCCTTCCCTCTTCCATCCCTGTAAACAGCGTAGAAGTCTGCATGGCCTTTTGGTGGCAGTGGCTAAACCGTACAGGGAACTGGTTTCATTTCAAAGTTGATTTTCTAAGCTCATACAGGCTATCTCCTCCTGTGATGCTGAAAGACACATTTAGATGTTGGCACAGCTATTCTGGGAACATTTTCAGGTGTAGGCAAACTTCACATCTCCATCTCAAAGGAATCAAAGCTGAAACGGTAGTTTCCTGTGAACAACATGCTGGTTTAAGCAGGCACCAGACAGACATTTAACAGGCTGTTGCCTCTGAAAGGTAGTGTCAGTTCATGAGCGTTGCTGAACCAGTCATGGAGAACTTAGCTTGACGAGAGGCTGAGCATGCTCTATCACATGCATACCTTTGCACCAAGGGAGAAGCTCAGCACAGCTCTGTGACCGCAGTGTTTCTGCACCCGGGGAAAGCAATGAAAAGAATACAGCTCCAGGCTTTTGAGATTGGAGGCACAAGGTGCTTCACCCAGTGGGTAGGGTGGGAACTGCGGACATCTGGTTGCATAGTTTGCTAAAATCAAAATGTCTCCAGGACCTGAAACGATCCAGTCTGATTCACCTCATCCTTATTTGCACCAGGAAGTTCACTGGGATGGTGAGGCTCTGATACTGCTACCCCTTATCTTTCCATTGACGCTCATAAGAAAAATGACATTTGTAATTTTAGCCAAAATAAAACTACAATCAAATAGGTTTCTTCCTCATGGATGTGCTTAAAAATTCAAAAATATGTCCTAAGTGGATTCCAAAAGGCCATAATTGATGAGCAGACAGAAAGAAATCACTGGTCTATTGATTGACAGAAATTTCTCCTTTTTTAAGCCAATCTCATGCTTCTGGGGCTTCAATAACCTTTTTCAAACATGTGGAAGTAAAATTACTGGAAATCACATTTTCTGCACAATTTCTGAGGGTTTTTTCATTGTTTTTTTCTTTGTTTTTTTTTTTTCCCTCCCCTTTCATTCCTCCTTTGGCAGTTTCTGGAACATTGACCAGGGCTGGTCTCACCAAACTTCAGGAGTGTTTGAGTGCTTCATCTGACTTGGCTTTAGGATAAGCTGATTTGCCCTCAGGCAGCTTTTTTTCCTTCCCATTTGGAGGGAGAGCCCCAAATGAGTGGTCTTACTCACACATCTCACCTCAACATGTCTAAGGTGCCATCACAGAAAGGCAGAGCACAGCTCCTCTGACACTGTAATTAGAGAAACGAGGTACATGTGTGGTGTTCTGGGAAGAGACTGTCGAAAAGCCAAGGATATTTTTTCTTCCCATGGTTGTATGTTAACATGGTTAAAATATGTGCATATGTGTATGTATGTAAGGCCCTTATAGTAATTTCTTTGCTTTTCTTAAAGGTAATTTCTTTGCTTTTCTTTCTCTGCAGCTCCAGTGTATTTCCTCTTTGGGCTTGTCTCTCCTGTTTTAATTGGCTTTAACATTTTCAAGCTGCCTAGTCATTTGTGATGATTCTTTAGCCAATACCAAGTGGTTTAATATGCTGGAAAATATTAGCTTCCTTCCTGACTGACCTTTCTCACTTAGCTGGAAACAGCAATTCCCTGGAGCGCTGGGCAGGACAGAATTAATACGGCCGCTCTTGCTCAGCCACGTGTTCCCTCACCCACCCACCACTGCTCTTCCCACACGTCAACCTGACAGGGCTGCCAGGGCAAAACTCACATAGGGTTTCTCATGGAGGTGGTACCCTGCCCCTCAGAGATCCTCCTACCTGGCTTTACAGGCAGCAACCCCAGATGGGTTTCTTGTTGTCTGTGCCCTGAAGTAAGAACTGGGGAGGTAAACAGCCATGGAAGCAGAAAGCTTACTGCTTGCATGGGATCTGGTTCTGGCTGGCTTCTATGCAGCCAGGTACCTGTTTCTTATTGCTCCGTGAAAGGCCTGGACATCTTCAAGCCCTTGCTCTGGAAGGAGAAGCAGCCACAGTGCTGCTTTCTCAGTCAAATGCCAGCAGAGATGAGTGCCTGCCCTGCAAATCCAGCGGTGAGGAGCTCCCCTCCCCAAGCTGGGCGCATTCCCCAGGGATGCACAGGTGCAGGCAGCAGGTATAGCTCATCTCTTCCTTGTTGCACGAATCACTTAGATGAGTCTCCTAAAGTGGGATGTACTTCATTAAGCTCTAGGCATCAAAAATTAGGCTTGTTATCCAGCAAAGAGATAGGTAGCTTGCCAGAGCAACTGTGGTGTCAATGAGAGACTGGGACCTTCAGAGTGTTTCTCATAATATAGAGATGACTGTCCTTCTTCACTGATTATAGAAATGACTGCATCAAACAAAGAGACAAGATGCCTGATTGCTGGATGGCTAAAGCAGCGTGAGGGGGATCTGACCATACCCTGGCTGAGCTCTGACTTCTCATCTCTGGCAAGGAGATACTAAATATTCTTTCCTCCTGGTTGTGCCTTGATTATTCAATTTAGATGGTCTTGGGCAGAAACTGTCTTTCACTATTTGTCTTTGCTAACTGTGGGAAAATAAGTGACCTTTAGCTGTCTGGCAAGCCTGAAGAAACCCAGACAAATAGCTGAAACACAGATTAAAAAAGTATCTAATGCCTTTTGTTTTACTCAAATAGAAATACTACGTTTGTTAATGAGCTCTTCACAACATTGATTTTTTTTAACCATGGCAGGGAGTTCATTAGAAACAAGTAATATTAAGTATGAAAAATAACCCCCCAATAGTTCATTTGCAAAGCCCAGCATTTACATATTACTTTTTCTGGATTTTGTGTTGCCTTTAGCTCCTTCATATGTCATAAGAAAATGATATTACTGGCACTTTACAAGGGAAGGCCTAGGAGCTGGGTGCCTATTTTCTTTTGGCTCTGGAGAAGACCAGGTATAAGAAAGTGATTCAGTGATTCTAGAGGTGCTGAGTATATGCAAGCCTAGTGGGAGCATGGAGTGCTTAGCACTTTTAGAGCTGAAACTGCTTATTTAGTTACTCAAACATGTAGTGTGAGGCAGTTGGTTTGGCATGTGTCAGGTTCTTTGCAAGAGGATGGGTTGGTGCCTTGCAAAGATGACTAAACTATATCTAGACCTGTCGTTGATGGGTAAATAGCTGGTATTTCCATTGCAGTGCGCAGGGATTCCTTTCTAGGGTTGATGCTGCTGAAAAGTTAAGGGGGTGAATAAACCCCACTCTAGCCAATGGCCAAAGACTAACTCTCATGTTCTTAGATTCAGGTTGACTGCCAGGTATCCTCTGAATGGGGACAGGGACACTAAGTGTCCAGAGGGTCAGGAAAAGCTCAAGAGAGGGAGACTGACTATGCTCAGCACATTCTTGAGGTCATTTAAGCTTGGCACCTTAACACAAGCCTATTTTTGTCATTTTAGGCAAATATCTAGGAAATGCAGTGCTAGAGTTCAATACTCATTCCCTTCTGCTGTGATCTACTGAGGGGCAGGTTGGACAGGTAGGAGTCTGTCTTTTCTTCAACTGCTGAGCAAAATTTTCTGCACCCGATGGGTCAGACTGCTAAGACACCTCTTAGTAAGGTATTGCTCAGTGCACAGATGGCACTGCTTGGTGTGGGTGAATTTATACTTAGTGTGAATCAGGTAAGCATTGTAGGAGTAGGTAGAGGATAGTGTTCAAATCTGACATACATTTCCAGATGCCGGCTGTGGAAGGGGTGGGAGTTTCAGTTAGCATTAATTTGTGGTTTTTTAATGTTTCAGTGAGATACATCAATAACTTTAACATAGAGCTTAAGGAAATTTCACGAGCATCTATGCACAATATGTAAAGCAATAAATGAACCACAGGATGGAAATGGTCTTGACCATCCCCTGCATCATGACAGGAGCAGCCATTGTTGCTGTTCCTGGTGAGCACTTCTCTAACCTGTTCTCAATGATGCCAGGACAGAGATCTCACAGACTCTGAATAGGAAGTATGTATCCCAGGTGACCCCAGGCACTGCAAATCAATTACAAATGAAACAGCGGTTTTCGGGGATATCCAGGGGGTATTTTTTGTGCTGAGAAATTTTCATTTCAGCTGAGAAATGAAAACAAATAATCACCTCAGAACGGGGACATTTTAAAGCAGTAATATTACAATGCCTTGATTTCAAGGGTTTTCCAATGTCAGCTAGTATCGTCAAAGCTGCTCAAGAGCATGGACAGTTCATCACTGGGATGCAGCTAGGGAAAATTGCTTATGGTTGGGAGTGTGAGATCCAAATGTTATCAGGGAACAAAGCTCATGGCAGAAAGAGAGTTGTGCACATGGCACACTGAACAGGGAAGATGGCAGGATCCAATCACAAAATACTTCATCTCTGTTCTCCAACATAGTTAAGCACATGCTTGCTTTTAAGCACATCAAATGTATTTGCCTTAATGTTAAACATGTACATAAGTCCCATATTAGAGTGCCAAGGAGAGGGCTGAGAGTTTTTATGTGCTACATTTCCATTCCATTTTCTCTTCTGGAAAATCTTCCACACAGAAATTTGTTATGAACAGTTCAAAGGCTTCCCTGCCACTTAATTTTGTGTGTCTCACTTAGCTGGCTAAATTGGGAATGCAGATTTTATATAGACTAAGGAACTAGGATATGCTCCTCATCCTCACCTACCTTAAATGAAGCTATTGCAAGTATAAACACCTAGGTTATTTCTCTAAATTAAGCAGTGTGAATACGTGGCTGCATCCAGAATTTATTCATGGAAACATACTACAAACCTAGTGTCTGAGTCTAGAGAGAGCATTTGCCCACACAAATATCACTTATTTCATAATCCCACCAAAGCTGAAGAGTTTGCCATCAGTAAAGGTGATGGGCTGGAGCATCACAGGAAAGTTGGCAGAACAATGCAATACATAAAACAGCAAGAAAGAACAGATGCTAACTAGTGTGAACGGGGCAGTGAGCAACATGCTGAAATATCAGAGACACGCTATGGATCAGTGTACGGCACAGGTCAGGACCAGATCTGGACACATACACCATGAAACATGGCAGATC